GGGAAAGAACAAAGAATGAAAGCCCAGCCTGCATCAGAAAGTTCGATGTTCGGATCAAAGAAGGACCAAACGAAACGAGACAAAAGAATATTAGTTGTTTCCGGTGATAGCCAACGAAGAGACAGCTAAGGCAACTGCTACCCTCAACCGCATTATCAATAGTTGGCCGAGAGAATTTTTGGTTTTTGATGGATTAACAATGATTGATATTGAATTTCAATTTGGCTTTATCGTCAAACTTATTTTCCTACCTGTTATTTGGACTTTCCCATTGTAAGGAAAAATAAACTAATTTATTCCATCTCTTCCTTTCAACCAGAACAAAATGTTGGATTTCTTCAAAATCTCATACTTCCCATGGATGTTTTTGGGCAGAGTGCCTTATCCCATTTTTATTTCTCATATTCATATCTTCCTGATTTCTATCAAATTAGGCTTGGCGAAAAACTCATTAGTTTGGGTATGCGCCCAAACTATGAACCGATCAACAGATAGAATTTGTCTTAATTACTGTATTTGGATTGGGTTCGAGCAAAACTCCAAAGCATAATTATGGAGACAGACATGATATTGATATCGTATTCTTCATTCCTAAGGCCTAACCCCTCTGAATACCTCTATACATAGCAATTCAATAGCAACCAGAAGTGTTGGTTGATAGTAGTACTGTCAATTGTCGTCCTTGATTTGAACATTGATTAAGGAACAAATAGTTAAAATTTTATTCACTTGCAGGGGAACTAATTGTGCTTTCCTAATTATTTCAAAAATTAACAATTGAAGAATGATAAATCTGCATATCACTTGTTTGATGTTGAAGTATGATGATTTCTGATGATGCAAATTCTGTTATGCTATGTTTGGCAATAAGTGGGTGCAAATTGTAGGGGAAACAAATTTGAGGAGGGTGTAAATTGGGGTGCAAATTGTTGTTTGGGAGAAAAAGTAGAAGGGTGCAAAGTAATAATGCACAATATTTTAAAAATATTATCATATTAAAAAACTAATAGAAAAATTAGAAAATAATTAACTAATCCTTTTTTTGCCTTTTCATTATCTATTTGCGTTTTTCTCAACCTTTTGTTTCCATATTTCTCTCTCCACTTTTTCCTCCTCTCTCCTCCTCTGTGTTGGGTCTCCCCCATCCGCCATGGCCATAGACCTCGATCCTGAGTAAAGGCGGCAGCAACGCAAGCTTCATCACCAAAATGGAAGAGTTCGTCGTCCAAGAAGCCGCCATTGGCCTCGAAAGCGTCACACAAAAGCAAAACCACCACTGCTCTTCTCCCTCTTCCTCCTCCGCCACAACAATCCGGTCGTTGACTCGCTCTGACTATCACAATGAAATCCCACCTAAGGCCCAAGTATAAACTTTAGATAGGTGTAATATACGGCAAGTATGTTTAAATATCGACCCGGGCCGGTCCATGTACCGCTACTTCGATTGTTTAAAACATTATCTAGCAAATTAGTTTTGGTGAAAACAAAGGTCTAAAGCTAAATTACTTTGCAAAGGTAAAATGGATTTGACACTAATTGAGAAGGCACCCGGGTGTTGCTCCCCCCTAGCTACCAATTACGACTTGAAGAATCAAACGACCGTGCATGATTAGGGGGTTATAAACCGTAGGGAAGTCTAACAAGTAGTCAAGGCTATCCTCTTAGTCCCTAGGTCAAGGAAATGAGATACGATCCAAACCACTAATGCGACCCTCTCGACCTATTGACTAAGGAATGGTTGTCCAACAAGTAGCTAAAGCTACCGTCTTAGTCTCTAGGTTGAGGAAATGGGATACGATCCAAACCACTAATGCGACCCTCTCAACCTATTGACTAAGAAATGGTTGTCCAACAAGTAGCCAAAGCGACTCTCTTAGTTTCTAGGTTAAGGAAATGGGATACGATCCAAGCTGCTAATGCGAACCTCTCAACCTATTGACTAAGGAAAGGTTAGACTTCACCCTCAAATTGGAGTTCGGACGAACACCCACAAGGCCACAACCAAACCTTAAGTGCTAATACGAAATGGGAGGTTTGCCCTGCATTAACCTAAATAGGAGGCAACGAATTACCCAAGAAAACCAAGCATTCAAGCCTCTTTCAAAGAAAGGAAGGGGGTTTTCTCTCTACCTAGGTTAGAATGGAAATTAGATTGATAGGCTTTCACACAACACAATCATTCATAAATAATACCTCCACATTCACATTAAACACAACGACACACAAAATCATTCAAATCATACAAGTATTCACATAATTGTAGCTAGGGTTTACAAACACTCAAGTGAAAGAAGGGACTACTCCATTATAGGAGAAGGGAAAATACAAGAGAGGGAAGGAAAATCATCAAGAAGATGCAAGCCTTGCTCCTTGTGTTGAAGAGATCCTCCTTTGGGGGGAGGAATTCTCAAATCCTTTCTTGGAGATGAAACCCTAACTTCTCCTCTTCTTCGCTTCGTCACTTTCTCACTCTAAAAATCTAAAGAAGAAGTAGTTTCTCATACTAGTTCTCTCTTTTTCTTCTTCCTTTCAACTGGCTATTTATACTAAGATCGGGCCCAGTTCACGGCCTGAGTTCACGGCTTGAACATCAAAACACGTCCGTGAACACAACGTGCTGGATCAAAACGCACCGCTTCACTTCTTGGGTTTAGCGACGGTGAACAACCTTGGCGTCAGTAACCTCAAAACCCTCTCTGGACGCTCCTTGGTTCACGGATTGTGGCTCGAGTTCACGGTCCTAGAGACCGTGAACTCCAATGGCAGACCCTGAACTGTTGTTGTCTCCTCATCTTTGCTCGGTCGTTGCTCCTTTTCTTCCAAATTTCGACTCGGGGGTTGGTTTCGCCTGTTAGGATCTGAAACACACTGAAACACGAGAAACCTAGCGTAAAACCACCCCTTTTGGAGTTCAGATGCAACAATGGTCAAAGGGAAACGGGGATAAAAAGTGTACAATTAGGCCCGAATCACTCCCCCACACTTAGACGTTTGATTGTCCCCAAGCAAACCATTTCACACAAGGTAATATCTCAACCTAAAAAATGCTTTGGGGACAAATCAAAGGGCACAAAGTGGCGAATCTCAATGCTATTGGCAAATTAACATATGGACCATTGTAAACAATACCGACATCCACCACCAACGACATTCGAGGACACCAAAAACGGGCAAATGAAAAGTTCTCACATTGTTCATGAATCAAAGAGTCTTATTGAGAGAAAGTGAGTGAGTGGTTGAAATTACCATAAATGAGGTCAAAGAGTCTTATTTATACTTCTCGTCTTTTACATTGTTCTGCATTGAATGTCATGTTAGGCGTCTCCGACATTCGCTTCAGGGCCTTAAGGTCCTACAAAAGGATGTACTGGGCTGGCTTTCGGATCCACTCCTTTTGGGATTATTATGTGGTTTTAGGCTCTATCCGGGCATGAGGCACATATCCCAAACACAAGAAATGCATTTGACAATGAATTCTATACATTAAATAATTTTAAAATGAAAAGAATTTTCGATTCATTTGGTACCAAACGAGTTGTTAGCATTTGAGTGGAAAAGTAAGTGTAACATCCCGAACCTTTTTCTAACAAAGATTTTGTCCGCTTTGGGCCTAGACCCTCACGGATTTTGACTTGGGGTGCAATTAAAGGTGACTTCCCATAAGGTCACCCATCATTGTTGTACTTCACGCTGAGCACGTTTAACTTCGGAGTTCTCACAAGAACTCCTCCAGTTCACCCTAAAACGCGTATTGTCGGTTAAGGCTGGTTTCTTACTTATGAACCATGGATCTCTCTCGTGCTTTGTCGATGTGGGATATTTCTAAGGTGTTACATACAACCCTCCCCCTTGGGACTCAACGCCCTCGTTGCGGTTTGCCCCACCATCGTTCAACAGGGACACGAATAGGCTCCGATACAACTTGTAACATCCCGGACCTTTTTCCGACGAAGATATTGTCCGCTTTGCGCCTAGACCCTCACGGTTTTCGAGTTCGAGTCCAATTCAAGGTGACTTCCCATAAAGTCACCCATCCTTGTTGTACTCCACATTGAGCACGTTTAACTTTGAAGTTCTCACAAGAACTCCTCAATTTCACCCTAAAACGCGTCTTGTCAGTTAAGGTCGATTTCTTACTTATGAACCATGGATCTCTCCCGTGCTTTGTTGATGTGGGATTCGCCTAAGGTATTACATACACTCCATTTGGACTCAACGTCCTCGTTGAGGTTTGCCCCATCATTGTTCAAGAGGGACGCGGAAAGGCTTTGATACCACTTATAACATCCCGGACCTTTTCCCGACGAAGATATTGTCCGCTTTGGGCCCAGACCCTTACGGTTTTCGAGTTGGGGTGCAATTCAATATGACTTCCCATAAGGTCACCAATCCTTGTTGTACTCCAAACCGAGAACGTTTAACTTTGGAGTTCTCACAAGAACTCTTCCATTTCACCCCAAAACGCGTCTTGTCGATTAAGGCCATATTCTTACTTATGAACCATAGATCTCTACCGTGCTTTATCAATGTAAGATTCGCCTAACGTGTTACACAAAATGTAACTAAAAGTATGGGTAACATAAAGCGCGGTCAATTTTAGCGAAAAAATCCGGCTATATCACTAAGTTTTTGGTTATGTTGCTAAAAAATGCATATAGATGGCTAAATTTGAACATAAGACGGGATGGTGATTAAATTTGTAAATAATTTAACCTTAGTGAATATTATTGTAAAATACTCAGCAATTAGTGCGTGTGAGCTGTTTTTCGTTTCTTATACTTTTCTCTAGCGTCAATTTGCCACCTCATGGCCGCACAAAGTGACCAGTTACCATCAACCACCTGAATTGCATAGGATTCTCATTCAACCACATAATCATCCAGAACTGGGAATTTACAAATAAATTATTCACCAAAACTTTAATAACAAACCAAAAAAGAAGAGAGTTTCTGTGTCATTCCTCACTGTACAAAACATTTCTTTTTTTAATAATCCGGGTTTGTACATGTACCATCCAGCTCACATTCCGCTGTTAGTTTTAGTTGTAGCGCAAAAGCCTCCAACCCAAAACGACGGACCCATTGAGCGTTATACGACAAAAGACTAAGCCTGCTGCTGCAACCCTTTCCTTAGCCGCCGAGGGAACGACCGGCACGCTTCTTTGCTCAGATCCACCGCTGCCGCCAGCGCAACAAACACCGCCGCGTCCTCCGTGCAGTTCACGTGTTGGATCCCTATCTCCACCTCCGGCTGGCCGCCCTTCCCTTCGACCGTCGAGGACATAACGAAGCCCTTGTAGATCGGCTGGCTCAGCATCCCCAACCCGAACTCTGACCCAGACCACGATCCGGATCCCGACCCGAAGTCGCAGCTGCTATGCGGGCTGCAGGCCGGGGTAGCGGCGGTTCCCGTCATGTCGATGGCGAATTTCCCCCGCCCTTTGGTGCTCACCACCGAATTGACGAGCGTGGAGGTGGTGGGAGTGGCGGTGATTCCGTCGTGGAGGAGGTCGAAGCGGTACCCGAGACCTTTGCGGCCTTCTCGCCACGCCTCCAGTCGCCCCCAGGATTTCCATGTGCCTGAAGACGGCCGGAGAATCAACCAGGCTCCCGGGTTTGATCGGCTGACCCGGTCGGAACCAGGGGAAGGAACGAACGGAGTTACCATCGATGCCATCGCCACCGGCGAGCCAGAGAGGTCGTGGATTGTGATTGTCCACCCCTTGCGATCTTTCGTGAATTGATTACTCTGGCTCCCACCGTCGCTGCCTCCTGTGATGGACCGCAGGCAACCTGTTGGGGCGCTCGAGTCCGCCATTGATGGCCTGAACAAAACAAGAAAGAAATTAGTGATCCATCCGGATAATTAAACTTTCTCCCACATAGTCGTTGCGCTTCCCAGCAACCAAAACAAGAATCGGGGACCTACCGTGAGAGGCTGCTGCGATCTCCCTGGTTTCTCAAATTGAATTTGCAAGTGAAGACGGCCTGCTTGACGCTGCCCTGAACCTGGAAAATCTGAGGGCTACAGACCGGGTCGGATTCGAACTGGAAGACATATCTGGGTTCGGGCTCAACCCGAACATTGAGGAAGAAGTGCGCTGGTTCGTCTCCTTTCTTCCTTCCCCCAATGGGCACCCAGCCGTTATGCATAACAGAAGGCCGAAACTCTGCCTTCCGGAGGTCAAGCGGAACGACGACAGTCCCCATGAGCTTCCGGCTGGAACAACAGCAGGCGGCAGCTGAGGAAGAAGGCCCTCCTCCGTCGTCACCGGCGTAAATCTCGATGTTCAAACTCTTGGGTTTCTTAGATTGGAGGAACTTATCGATCTGGGACTTGTCGAGATTGAAGCAGGCTGCCAGCGAATGAGTAGAGGAACCGGAATTGGGGTTGGAGGAGGAGGCCGACGAAGAGGAAGACTGCAGCGAGGAGTGACGGGGGCGATGGTGCTGAGGGTTATCGTCGTGTTCCTGTACGATGGGGATAGTGGCCACCTGCGTGGGGAAGCCCTTGAACCTGACCTTGGCCAGGCAATTGGAAGAAGAGGATTCGCAAGCGGCGGAGGGGGAGCGGGGAAGCTTCAGGGCTAAGTTCCCGACCAGGATCCGCACGAACGGGCACGGATCCATTGATTTGGTTGTGTTGTTGTAAGATAAGAGGTTAAGGAAGCAAGAGGGCGAGAGGACAAGTTTGTGGTTTTTGGAGGGGAAGGAGAGATATAGGAACAAGAAAGAGTTGGAGAATGGAATCAATCAGAGAGGGAGATGTGCTTTCACTGTAATTTGGGCGGAAATTAAAATAGGAGCTGAGAGTGAGGAACAGGCTGGTGTGGTATGTGTTGACACTCTGCCTTTAGCTGTTTTCTGCTCACCACAACCAACAGAAATATTGGGGTTGGGGGGATGGAGTTTTGTGCATGGTGTGGTGGAGTCCACGCTATGTTCTGTGGGACTCTTTAGCCATCCCATCATTCAATTATTTGGTAAAAATAATAATAATAATAATAATAATGGACGTTATTTTTGGAAGAATCTTCAGAGGTTGGTTTGGAGTTTTCTAATTGCCGAGATTGGGCTGTTCGCTGTGGCCTTGGGGCTGTGCTGTTTATAACGGACAGTCAGGCAATTGCTCGTCATGCTAGAGCAGTTTTGCTTTTTTTTTCTTTTTTTTCCCCCTTTTTTTAAGTAGACGCTCCAGTCCTGATTTAAGTTTACTGGATGCCAACGAGAAATTTGATTGCCAGAGAGAGTATTGAGTTGTTGAGCATCAGCAATGACTCTTACATTCCTCTTAGGTTGAGTGCTGATTCTCTCGCCTCCTCGTCTTGCTGCTTTGCCCAAATGCTTTGACAAACATTACTCTGGATGTCCTTGGACACACCCAGAGGCCAGAGGAGAGGAATTTGCCAGTTTCAATCCATATATGTGAGTACATCTTTCCCGCTAGGTCACACTTACTGCTAGGCACCAAATCAAATGACACATTACTACTTCGACAGATACCCCTTGAAATTTCTGCACACACCACATCACCATAGTGTTCCAGACATCAATGTGAGAAGGGGGCTTAATGCTTCAAACAAACATCCTATCAATCAATACCTAGCAATATTTGCATGCAAGTTCCCTGTGATTAGTGGCACTTCTACGTATCTCGCAGTTGAAGAACCAATGGGGAACCCGTATAATAATATATAACCCCCATTTCCTCTATAGATATCTCTGCACAAAATAATTGACATTTTGCAGGGTTACTTTCAGCCCAGAAACTCCATAGAATTCATTAAGAAGTTGACACGCTAAAACACAACACCTAACAATGGCCAAGTGTAACCAATGAAAGGGACTGCAGTATAGTGGCACAAGTAATAAATATCGAATCCACGGGTCTCTAGAGTTACTATTACTCAGCTTCAGTTCATTATCTAGCAAACTAGATTAAGGATTGATTTAACTAAACTACTTTACTAACTAAACTAAGTAAAACTACTAATTACACTTTGGGAACTCACTTAGGTATGATTCCCCCTAGCTCCTCAATTAGGTCCAAGTTGCAATTACCTTTGGTTAATCTACTATTGATTAAACTGCGGAAGATCCTAAATTAGTTTGGAATCTCTTAAGCTGACCAAGCCCTCTCAGTCTAACTACCCGGCAGACGACTAGTCTTCACCAGGATAGAAAGCTGAGGCTATGAACACAGAACTCCACTACTGGAATGAATTCCAGTACAAAGCAGTGAATTGATTGACTCTCGCACAACCAATTCACCACTATCAATCTAGGAAGCTCTCTTAACCTAATCAGATTCTATCTATCATAGGTTAAAGCAGAAATCAAGAGAATTTGATCAAGATTCAATTGACTCAATAAATCATGCCTCAATCGATTATAATCAAACAATATAGCATCCAAAACTTCATACAAGAAAGATCTTAACACATGGAACTAGGGTTCCTCAAAACCTAAGTGAAGGGAAGTTACTCCATAGAGAAGAGAGAGACTGCAGAAATCTGATCTAGATCTTCAATCTCCATCTCCAAGCTTGATTCCCGAGCTCCAATGGCGAAGAAATCCTCCAAAATAGCTCCAAGAATGTTCCCAAGTCGCTCTCTCTCTCTAGGGTTCATCCCTTGGGTGTTTGGGAACCAAAAACCCAGCTCTCCCCTTTCCTTTTGCTGAAAATCGGGTTTTAAACAGAAATTCCCGATCACGCGGCCAGACCACACGGCCGTGTGGCTTTCCCAGCTGCCCGTGTGAAGGCTTGATGATTTCCACACGGCCACGACCCACACGGCCGTGTGGAGTTCCAGGATGCCCGTGTGGCTTACCCAGCCTCTGTTTAATGCTTCATTTCTCCCTCGTCCGGACTCCGAATCAGTCGCCGTTTGATCCCAGACGCTCGTAGTCTCGTCCTATTTCTTTTCATGACAAAATTCCATGATTATTTTTCCATATTATGAGGTAGAAGTCCATTATTCCTCAGGCTATGCTCGTGTTTCTTCTCCCGAATTGCCAAATGATCTCCGATTGACTTGAAACTGGCGCCTATGCTTCAATTTACATGCTAGGACCTGAAATGTGACAAAGGAACACAACCTAGCGTAAAATAGGCCAAATAAAGCAAAAAATCAAGCCAAAATGATCAAGAAACGAGGGTGCAAACATGTGCAAATCCGATGTTATCAGAAGTCTTCCAATCCCTGCATTGCCCTTATTGATCCATTGGAGAACACCAATAAGAGATGAGTAATTCGCAGCTTTTTACAATGCATTATGTGGTATCTGTTCCTCTCTTGCTACTTTTTTAATCAAACATCTCCATAGCCACAATAAAAGTGATGGTGATAATGGATCACCCTAATGTGAACACTTACAAGCATCATAATCACACATAATCCACCATTAATTGCTACACTAATATAAGGGGTTGTAACACATACAAAAAGCAACCTAATGAAACCTTCTATGAATCTCATTGCAGTTAATAAAGAAAACAAGAATCCCCAATGCACTGAATCAAATGTCTTCATTAAATCATTTTTAACTTTGCATCTAGGGAAAATCTTAGCTTTATGATACACTTTAACTAACTCCGATGCTAGTGGAATATTATTCCCAATGGATCTCCCTATAGTGAAAACAATAGTGAAGGGCTTATTACCTTAGAGAGGACTAAAGCCAGTCTGTTAGCAAGAAGTTTTGAGATGCCATTATACAAGCTATTGTAGCATGATTGATATGATCCCAATTCGCGTACCATTGAAGCTTCCATGGATCGACGAAGAAGTAAGTTCAAATGGAAAGAAGAACCTGGTTTTTGGCTAAGTGTTGAAGCTGTTTTGGGTAGCGCTCTTTACAAGACTGTTTCTTGCGTTTGGCTTGATAGAAATTGGGTTGGAAGGGTTTGTTTTGAACTTTGCAAGTTGCTGAACAAATGGGGATGTCTGGGACCTCGAGGGGAGGCTGGGAAGTGTTGTTTTCAAACTCGAAAAAACTCCATGGCAACATAGGCAAACTACCAGGAATTGCCTAAGGCATGGAGCAGTTGTAGGCAGGTCACTTTGGAGTCCGATTCGCGACAACTTGCTGGGAATCACGTTTCAAGGCTCATACCACATGAAATCTTGTACTTTCTAGTGAAGAAGCAAGGGGTTGGGTGATCAATTCAACAACGGGAAGGCTGCCAACGACGGCTTTGAAGATGGCATCAAAACTATGTTTTTTTACTTGCGTTTTAAGTTTCCGTATTGCTTTAGAATTTGGACTGTTTTCGTTTTCCTTGTTTATTTGGGTTTCCTTTGCATTTAAGTTTGTTGTAAGTTCTATTTAAGACCTACGAAGGTAATGTAATTGACAGTAGAGTTGAATTACAGAGAAAATCCCAAAATTTCCAACTTGTGCGTTGTGAGTTTGTTTGGTTTTGGTTGCGATCAAAACTTGTTGCATCTTGCTTATCAATCGAGAAACGCACTCGATTGCGTCGAAAGCCTCCTCATAACGAGTGTGCATCCTTCCAGGTACAAGTATTCCCGTTCGTTTGCATCCAATCTGAGTTTATGCAAGCTTGGCTTTGCTAGGTTTGAGCTCTATTTTTTTCTCGAGATCAAAATCCTTGATTGATCTAGCTCTCTGTGCGACTTTGATTCCATTGAGACCCAACTTTTGGCTCATCAAGTGGCATCGAGGCCAAGGTTTGACACAGTGGCAACAAGGACGACGACAGCGAATGAAGGCGATGCCGGAGCAAGTCACTGTACGAGGTCGAAGGGCCCTGTCTTAAGTGACCCTGCCTTGCTGCTATCGGAACAGAAAAGGAAGAAGAAACAAGCAACAACAGCATCAGCGAACCAAACTCTCGAAATTAACTCTGCATCTGCTACCTGCTAATCAAATGAATTTGACAATGGACGAGGCTTAACTCTTCACGATGGCAGGGCTGCAACAGTTCTTACAAGAGCAAGTCGTTGCTCTGCTCCAGAATCAACTAGACAAACAGGAAGAAAAGTTTAAAGATATCACCAATAAATTCGATGCTCTGACTCGACAAGTCACGATGATACGACAGCCGGATGGACCAATAGCGGCGATGCCACTCGGAACTGAGGCCGCCGACTCAACTAGTGTTCACCTACCAGAAAACAGGGCACCCCTGCAAGGCCGAGAAACATAGAGCAGGAGCAAGCTCTAGCCGAGCGAGTACAGGAGCTAGAAAGACAGCTCATGACCATCGAGAACAACAGGTGGGAAATAGCAAACTCCCAATCAACAACGTCTGGGAATGCCACGGAATGAAATAGGAACAGAAGAAGTCCATGTGGCTGAGTTATGAGGAATCAAACTCTCGATTCCAACTTTTCAGGGCACTAACAACGCTTCAGCTTATTTCGATTGGGAAAGGAAAATCTTGTTGTTTTTCCAGCGTGGTCATTATACGGATTCGCAAAAGGTACTCTTGGCTACCTACGAGTTCCAAGACTACGCGGCGACATGGTGGGAACAAGTTCGGTTACGGCAGAGAAGAAACTTACAACCCCCTATTACAACGTGGGATGAGCTACGAGGGATGATGAGGGAGCGGTTCGTGCCAGCATACTCTCGACGCGAATTGCACGAGTCATTGCATGCTATTCGTCAAGGCTCGAGGTCCGTTGATGATTACTTTAAGGAGCTTGAGCTGCTCTTAATCCGGGC